CATAATCACTTATAGTTGGTTATTTTTTTTGAAACGAATATGTTTTGAGCGTTTAGGGTTGTTGCTTCAAGTTCAGTTTGTTATGAAAGATTTTGAGAATGGATTATGAATTTGGGATTGGACATTTAATTGAAGTATTTTGGAATTTGGGGTTTAGAATATAATTAAAGCATTTTGGATTTTGGGGTTTAAAATGTAATTGATGATTGTGTTGCAAGTTTTAAAAGTTGGGGGACCTAAATGCAAGCGCCTAAAAAGTTCAGTGACCATTTTTATAATTTATCCTAACGGCTGTGAAACGGTCGTTACGTCGGGAACCATATTGCAAATGAACTAAATGTTTGGTGACTATATTGTAAGTTTTAAAAGTTGAGAGACCTAAATGCAAGCATCTAAAAAGTTTAATAACCATTTATATATTTTATCCTAACTTTTAATAATAGCAAGAAAATAACACTTTATAATTATGGGACTATTTTACAATTTTAATAATCGAAAAATTTAATAAAACAATAACTTATAATTAGAATATATGCTTTACTTATTACAATAAAAAAATCCTAACCCTCAAGTTTTTAAATGCGCCCGACCCGGTCGCGAGGGAAGGGTATATTCATCTACATCCGGGACTATGCTAAGTTCTGATCATCAAATCATAAATCTCTATAAGCCACATAAGAAAATCAGAAGCAATGAAAGAAATTCATTTACACGTGGCAACTTACTATTTGGGAAGATAAAGACTAAACCAGAAACCGACAGCTTAAGACTTTATCTTCCTAGAACTTTCTCTCAATTGACAGGTGGCTCAATATTTTGTCATTCATCCAATTATTTCATGCCACCTGTGCCCGTAACGCCCTAAACGGAAACAGCTCCACGTTACCATTGAGCAAATTACGCGATTTGACTGAACTGACATCTTTTAATCGAAAATCTCCCTTTTTAGCATTGTTTGTTCTATATTTTTTGAAGTGGCGAAAGGCGCATCATCGGGGACGCGTAATATTTGGTTTTACGTTGAATTGGATGCCACGTGTGAAAGGTGCATCCCCGGGAACGCGTTTTACCTTTATTTTGCTGATTCAGTTGTCACGTGTGAAAGGCGCATCCCGGGGACGCGCCTTTCATTAAATGTCTTAAATACCCATCTGATTTTTTCCCAACTACCCCTCTTCCTCCCCCTATATAAACCCCCTCAACCCCTCTCATTCTTCACATCAAAATCATCTTCTCATTTCTTATATAATTCAAATTCTCCAAATCTTTGAGTTTTAAATTTCTTATTAGTAGTAAGAAATTTATTTTTCAGTTATTATTATTTTTTAATAGTTATTATATTTTATATTAATATAATTATATAAATATTATTTTTTTTATTAAAATAATATTTATATAATTATTATTTATTTAAATTTATTAATTAATTATTTTTTGTGCTATTTTTTTGTCTACAGTTATAATGGAAAGTGAAATGCTGTTGCGATTGGATGTTGACCACATCCAGACATTTTAGCGATATGGTAATATTTTTTTATAATTAATGTTAATATTTATTGTTATGTTTAATTTAAATTTATTATGAATTTATATTAATTTTAATTTTTTATAATGCATATTATTTAGGATATTGATCGTATTTTAGAGACATTTATTAAAAAATTCACGTATATCGACACCGGAACGTATTTTGCCATATTTGGCTTCTGTCGGGTTCGGATATATTGCAACAATTATTAGCGGTTGCAAACTCGAACCTGTCCTAATTTCTGCATTGATTGAGAGGTGGAGGCCTGAGACACACACTTTTCACCTTCCATGTGGAGAGGCTACAATTACATTGGAGGATGTCTCTACGCATCTGGGGCTTCCTGTCGACGGAAATATGATGTGTGGTATGGCGGATGGTGGTTGGCAGTCAATGTACATTGATTATCTTGGAGCTGCTCCGCCAGAGTTTAATGGAGGTAGAATAGCGTTATCTTGGTTGAAAGCTAATTTTGAGGTTTTAAATGAAAATGCTTCAGAGGATCAAGCAAAGGCATGTGCTCAGGCATATATTCTACGAATAATTGGAGGAATATTGATGCCCGACAAATCTCGCAACCAGGTGCATTGTATGTGGTTGCGGCATCTGATCGATTTTGATGAAGCTGGAAGATATAGTTGGGGCGCTACAGTTTTGACATTTCTCTTTAGAGAAATGTGTCGGGCAACGAATTATAAGAAAACTGCTATCGGTGGATGTCTCCTGCTTCTGCAATCATGGGCGTGGTTCCGCATGCCTTTCTTATGCCCGATCGTGAATGAACCATACGTATTCCCCTTATTGTTGAGGTAATTATCGAACTAAATTTTGATTTAAATATTTTTAATTAAATAGGGTGATATTTAGTTTATATTATATTTCATAGGTGGTCGATGAAAAGAAAGAACCATAGAAGTATGCCTACTGGGTTAGAGGAAATTCGTCTACTTATTGATACAAAAGCTGGGTCTGAGGTATGTTTTTAGACCTGTTTAAATATTAATATTTTAATTTAAAATGGTAGATATAATTAGAATATTTTATTTATTTGAATTGTATATTTATATTTCAGTTTCAATGGATACCTTATGCGAGCGATGAAGTGAAGGCTTGCATCTTACCCCACCTTGGTGGGTCATTAGAGATTTGGATATTGGTTATACCTCTTATATGTTATGCTATCATTGAGTGGCATCCAGTTGATAGCGTGCTCCGTCAGTATGGTTGTACGCAATATATTCCTGGAGCACCTAGGAATTTAGACGACGTGCATAACATAGATAGACGAGGAAGGAAAGATGTTAACTGGGTGGTGAGACACAGAGATTGGATTGCGCTTTGAGAGAACCGGTATGTACAGTTGGCCTCTCGACAATATTACGCTGAAACTGGTCATATGGTTACGGATAGCTATATGGACTGGTTTAATGAAAATGGGAAGCCGTTTCTACTTTCGGCGGAAGCATGAGGGGTTAGCATTCCTAGGCGTCGAGAAAGACGTCAACCGTCTCAATATCATCATCCCCCGACGCATAGACGGAGAAAAGGTGCTACTGGTTCTGCATCAGTCCCACCACAACATCCTTATCCACTGATGCCACAATGGTACATGCCCAGCCCTCCACTTCAGATGCCATCTCCTCATGGGTATATGCCAAGCCCACCAGTTCATATGTCATCTCCACAGGGTTACATTCCTAGCCCGCCAGGTTACATACCTAGCCCGCATGGTTTTATACCATATAGAGGTGCATATACGGCTGTGTTTAATGATCCAGCATATGGTTCATATACATCTTATTTGGCTGGTGGTGCTTCTCCTCAGACACCTCAATCTCCATCTGGATCACAGACATCGATGTCAATGTTTCCACAGTTTCTACAGTTCCCGGGGAGCGGTGGGATGGTTACTAGCACTCCTCTAGAGTCGTTATTTTATACAGGCCCTTCAGCCCCTTCAGCGTCATCTCTTATGTCATTGTATTGGTCAAAACGACTTATTTTCGTTTGGGTCAACTCTTTGCAAAGCTCGGTGGACAAGCTCTTACTTGAATGCAAAACGGTCATATTTACCACCCAAGACTAGTAGCTGATTTACAGAAAAAAGTGGCTGCATCAAATGGGATGTTGGTTACAAATTTTTCTCGCACCCGTGAATTGTTTTGTGTAACCGAAATGCCACGTCCGTTGCAAGGGATTGAAGCTAACGCTTTCAGAGTTAATCTGCATGAGAGGTGGTGCGATTGTGGTTTCTTTCAAGCACTCAAATATCCATGCTCTCATGTCATTGCAGCTTGCTCACATTCGCATTTGGACTACAAAAATTATGTTGATCCCGTATACCAACTTTCACAAGTATTCAAGGTATATAAATTTGAGTTTCCGCCCATAGAAAACGAAAGAGACCCAGATGAGATTCAAACTTGGCTTACAATTGTACCAGATCCATTGCTATTGAAGGACTCAGGTCGTCCAAAATCTACTAGAATACATTGTGATATGGATATTCGGGAGAAGTCAACATAACAAAAACGATGTGGGCATTGTAGAAACATCGGACACAATAGGAAAAAAATGTCCAGCTCTATTATCATCACATAACCGTTAACCCTTATGTAACCTAATATTCTATTTAAATGAATGTTTTTATTTCTAATATTTAAATGTAATTGCATTTTCTATAATTTCTCAATGTATAATAATAATAATAACAGATTAAATGTGTAATTATACTAATTTTATTAACTTATGCATAAATATTTTGGTTAAATAATAATAATAGATGACTAGATTGATAATATTTAAATAATTAAGTGATAAAATTAATAGATCGATAATCAAAATAAAAAATAATAATATAACCATACGTGTAATATAATAATTTTATACATTTTTCATATAACTACAATAAAATAAAAAACTATTTTTCATCTGTTGTTCTATCCGATTAATGTGGATAATACACTCTACCTTTAACACACATTAAAAAAATACATTCTATATTACTAATTTATAATAACAATAAAAATAAAATTTTTATTATTAAAAAAAATGCCACATGGCAACTGAATCAGTAAAATCAGATAAAACGCGTCTCCGGAGATGTTTCTTTCGCCACCTCAATCGAAAGGATACAGCTTCAGAAAATATAAAATAAATGGTGCTAAAAAGGGAGATATTCGGTTAAAGTATCAAATCGCCGCAAATTACTTTCCCACGTAATTAGGATTCTTCTTCTGAAAATTAATTAATTATTTATTAGAGTAAGTAAAGTATCCATGAATAAAGCTTAGACTTAATGTACAAGATATAAACAATGAATTAAGAAATTAGTAATATTTATTATTTTTTTTCAATAATAAGATCGAGTGATGAAATTGTTTTAGTATCATCTTAATTACGAAATTAGTAATATTGAGAATTAGAGTACTGTTAGTGTATAGTAAAATCTTATATATTCACGCGGCAAGTCACCACCTTCTTCTCTCTCTCTCTCTCGTTTCTTTGATTCGATTTCTATTACGGTGACCAAAAGGGAATAGAGATGTCGAGCAGCGATGAATTCATGGAGGAATTGAATTCAAATGGGGATTCATCTCGGACGGTGCACCGGAGGTTCAAAGATCGAGCCGAGGTATACTCTTTTTTGGCAGCCCAACGGTTTTTCTGAGCTATTTGGATCAAATTTTATGTTTTATTATCTTTTTTTTGTGTTTTTTAATGATTTGGGGTTGATTTTTCGGAGCAGAAAGTGGCGAAAACAAAGGAGATGTTGTCTAAACAAGCGGTTCAAACGAAGGAGATGCTGACGAAACAAGCTGTTAAGATCGCCAAACAAGCTGAAGAACACGAACGCTTTATTAACAAGGTATTAATTTCAACGTTTTTTCCCTTTACATTCATGTTTGTTCTATGTATTTAATTCATGGGTTTTATGTTTATCATATGGATCTGAAGTTATAACTTTCGATTTTTTATTTTTTTTTCTTTCATGGGATTTTGATATTTTAGGTGACTCATCTCTTGGGGGTTCTCGGCTTTGGAGGGTTTTGCTTTTTATTGGGAGCAAGTGAGTTAACTCAGCCTTGAATTAATGAAATTGGTCACTTAAAACGTTGGCTCTTGAATCCATTAATGATTTTTGCTCTCTGTTTTTGTGAATTTGAAATTCTGATTCAGGACCGCAAGATATTCCATATGTATATTGTGTGTTCTATGTTACCTTTGTTCCTCTTCGATGGATATACTACCGCTTTAAGAAATGGCATTATTATCTTCTGGTGAGTCATAACTCGGCTCAATTCGGACTTGTTTTAAAGAATTTTTTTGAAAGATAGAATCAAGAATGATGCATTTCTGTGTATGTTAGGATTTCTGCTATTACGCCAACACAATCTTCTTGGTCGACCTTCTTATTTTTCCGAAGAACGAAAAGCTTTTTATGATTTGTTTCTCATTTGCTGAGGTAAAAAATTGGGGTACTTTATCTCCTACGTACATCTCCATTGGTGAATGAATCAATTTTAACTTCTTCAATCTTTCTGGTTGCTACTTTAGGGTCCGCTAGCATGGGCGCTCATCGTTTGGCGTTGTAGCTTGGTTTTTAGTTCTGTGGACAAAATTATTAGTGTCCTCATACATCTTTTACCGGGTATGTTTGCAATCCTTATTTTCACTTGTTCTCTATACATAGAAATTTCTGATTGCTTACCTTCAACATCATATATTGAAGATAACGATAGCAATCGTTTATTGCACTATAAATTGCTCATCAAAACATAACTTAGAATTTCCTTCAAATAGGGTTTATTTCTGATCTCAATGAAATTCTCCTATTTTTATGTATAAAGTTGATCTTCTGATTCTAAATAGAGGGGATTGCCTCTATTGCATCAACCTGCAACCTTCAAAAGAGGTTTAAGAAAGCTAAGATGTCTAGTAACCTGAATTTTTCTATTAGTAGGAAATGCCCTGCAGTAAAATTTTGGTTGTAAGTTGTTTAACTAGTAGTGAAGGACATATCAACTTATATTAATTCGTATTTTGCTTATGTATAATGGTTGAAAGACATTCCACGGGCTTAGTTTCATGTAGATTGTGAAACTATAGACCCAACTGTCTCATTATTCCTTGGCGGTTGTCCGGAAATCCCTCCCAAGCTGTGAAATTTGTTGACACTTTGTAACTTGGCTGGATATCTGACCATGTGAGTAGTATATTCGGGAATTCAGTGTATGGCAAGAAGGTGTTGCTAAAGAACTCCATTTGAAGTTGGAGGTTAAGGTTCTTTAGAAAGACAGGGCTAGTTTATTTCTTTCTAATACGTCTGAATGTGCTGGATGACTAATGTGGTATTGTTTTACTTTCAGGGATCGTGTTTTTCACGATTCGATGGTGGAATCCTGCAACCTTTGAAGCCATGCATCCTGAAGGTACATCTCACAGATTTTCATGGCCTTATGTAGAAGACAAATCTTACCTATGGACTTGGTTGTTCGTGGTTCCCTTAGCTGCTTATACCCTCTGGCAAGTTCTTTATTTTCTCATTGTCAACGTGCTACGTCGCCAGAGGATGCTAAGAGATCCCGAAGTCATGACTTCTTACAGGTTTGCTCTCTGTATTACCTTGATACACAACATCAGTCCCTTATAAATATTTTTATATATGTTTAAGTTGCTTGGCTTTGGAATATATCTTCATTCAGATGATTTCTTCGTTTTATAGGGAACTTTCTAAGAAAGCTCAGAAAGCAAACAACATATGGTGGCGTTTAAGCGGTTTGCTCGGGGATCAAAACCGTTTGTTCATGTACATTTTACTGCAAGCCATTTTTACAGTCGCAACCATGGCACTCACAGTCCCGATCTTTCTTTCATATGAATTCCATGCGATTTTCCAAATACTCAAGGTTTCTGCATCTGTATGGAATGGAGGAAGCTTTCTGTTAGAAGTGATGCCGAGACAAGTGGTTGTCAAGGAGAAAAAGAGATCTGAGAAGCAGGCGCCACCGACATCACAAAACCAACAAGATCAACACTTCGATTCAATCGGAAACGAGATGAAGGAGAACCATCACCAGTCCGAATAACTGTGCAAGAATAGTTGGATGTAAAAACCATCGTCAGAAAGACATGGATACTGTGTTGTGTGTTGCAGTTCAAGGACGAGTTGTTTTATTAGACAGTCCTAACTTGTAGTTTTGTAATTGTGAATCTGTAATAATTTTAAAGAAAATGAACAGATAATGCGGAAGGAAGACTATTTTTGTTCCTTTTTTTAGTCTAAATCAAGTAGTGGGCCACAAGATATCAAGTGTCCAAATCTTACCCTAATATTATACTAATGGATGGTCCATTTTAATTATGTTTTTTTACAATCATCTAACCACAATTATAAATTGAAAATATTGACAAGCCATATATACAAAGTACAAACTAAATCTAATAAATGATCTTTTATTGCAATAGCCAAAAAGACTGACTGCAAAAATCTAAATCAAATAATACTATTTCTGGCCCAAAAAAAAAAAAGATGGCAATAATACTAGAGAAAGCCAGTGGCACCACCAAGGCCATGGTGCAGCAAATTATGAACAATGCGATCCCTAGCTTGAGCAGAAGCCATGGATCTCAGGTTGTTCTCAGGGATCACCTCATCGTCAAAAACCTCGAATTTAAGCCCAGGCTCCATTTCCTCATTCCTCAGCTCGCAAATATTATGTAAAACGCAGCAAGCTCCGAGAACAACCGGCAATTCTTGAAGCTTAACCTCGATCCTTTTCTGCAAACACCCCCACCGCCCTTTCAGTCATGCAAACGCTTCCTTTCCCACTTTTTCGATCTCACAAATCTTCTCGTTAAATGCGTGTTGAGCCCAAGTGAGATTGTGGTGAGTGTAGGGAACTAAAACCCAGTCCATTAATGGATGCCCTTTACCTCCCACCACCCAAACGTCCTTTAACTGACCCATGGTGGCTCTTTGGTGAAACTTCGATTGCTCCAGGACTTGATCGTCGGTCATGGATCCTGGCCAGCCGATGCAAGCGTCGGTGAAAACGCCGTTTTGATCGACGACGCCTTGAAGGGTGATGGAATACGAGGTTTTTTGGTTCCTGTATGTGTGTTTCTTGTTGAAATATGAGGTAACGCTGGTTTTTGGTGCGATGATTGGGATATGAGTGTTGTACATTGAACCGCCGATGTTAGGGATCCCGGTTATGGACTCGAATTAGCCTTTGATTTGCTTCATTTTGTTTTCGTCGGGCCATTGGCGGTATTTAGGCATCAGTACTGTTTTAATGGCGGTGCAAACCTCTAGAATCAGCTTATGGCAAGTTGAAATCCCTAAGCCGAAGCGTTTCGATACCATCCTAAGCGGCTCGCCGGTGGCCAACCTCCAGATACAAACCACGACGCGTTGACGGACCGGGATCGCTTCACGGAGCATCGTGTTCTTTTTCATCACCGCCGGTTCCAACTCCTCGCAATTCAAATCAAACGTAGATTTACCCATCCGAAACACGCGTTTGAACTCCTCGTCGGGAAAATCTGGGTGATTTGCATCTCTCCCACCAGTCTTTAGATCGGGATTTCACCCATAACCGCCGTTGATGTCCCGAACCGACGCTCGATTCCGGCACACCCGCTTTGTCTGAACCGACTGAAACCGTCGAAGAGCTAGCGGCAACTGAACCGGATTGACGAGAGCGTTTGTTTTTTCTCCAATTACTCAACTCTTCCATTTCAGAAGAATGATAATTACCATGGAATTCTTCAGCTTTTTCTTTGTAATCGGCTTCGAATAAAGGTTCAAACTCAGTCAGCCATTGATGTTGCTCTTGCTTTGCTGCTCCCTCGTCGAGCAACAAAAGCGAGGAAAGTAAATCTTTAAACACATCGTTCTTCAAGTCGTCTCCATTGACTAAAGATTCATCAGTGTCTTTTCTACTCATTTTCTTACTGTTCCCATTGAACCCAATTTCCATATCCGAAAACCAAGAGAAATCCAAGGCTTCGCTATGAGAGAGGAATGTGAAAGATGGGGTTTTCATATAAACAAACGTCGCGTTTAGTTCGTTGGAATGTTTATGAGGAATTAGAATCTATGAAGAAATTGGTTGGCAGGAAATTAAATTGGAATCCAATTTTATATTCTATTTAATTCGTAGACATGTCAGATGAATTTAATTTTAATAATGTAAAATGATAGAATTGTCATTCTTATTTTTTTTACTTTATTTTAGTTTATTTTACAATTTACATGTAGTAATATATTATAAAAAAATTAAAAAATATTAAATTTTTATTTTATTGATTGATTATTCATTTTAATAAATTATAAAAATCATGTTAATAAACATTATAAGTTAAAATCATCGCAATTAAAATATGTTAATAAGTTACCAAAAGATAGATCAATATTTTGATATATTTCAACCGGAGTATGTTAATTAGTTACAAAAAAAATATATCAAAAATTTATTCAATATATGAATTAGAAACTCGACCCTCCACGACTCAAAATAATAAAAAAATTATTTTTATTCAATAAAAACATTGACTTAATTGAAAAAATTATATATAGAGGGTTATTATTGTAATTATTCCTAAATATATAATTTAAAATTATATATTTTTTCGGGTTGGTCTGGTTTTTTTCACCCTAAACCCGAACCCGACCTGACCTGACTCGAATATCACACTTAAAAAAACCCGACCCGACTCGACCCGAATATCACACTTAAAAAACCCGACCCGACCCGAACAAAATAAAGTTTCATCTGACCCGAATATATGAATTAGAAATTCGACCCGACCCGACCCGAAATAATAAAAAATTATTTTTATTTAATAAAAACAGTGACTTAATCCTACCCGACCCGAATTATAGATATTTTCGGGCCGGTCTGATTTTTTTCACCCTAAACCCGAACCCGACCCGACCCGACCCGAATAACACACTTAAAAAAACATGACCCGACTCGACCCGAATATTACACTTAAAAAACCAGACTGACCTGAACAAAATAAAGTTTCATCCGACCCGACCCGAATATATGAATTAGAAATCCAACCCGACCTAACCCGAAATAATAAAAAATATTTTTATTTAATAAAAACAGTGACTTAATCCGACCCGACCTGAATTATATATATTTTCGGGTTGGTCCGATTTTTTTCACCCTAAACCCGAACCCGACCTGACTCGACCCGAATATAACACTTAAAAAAACCCAATCCGACCCGACCAAAATAAAGTTTCACCTGACCCGACCTGACCGACCTGAATATATGAATTAGAAATCCGACCCGACCTGAAATAATAAAAAAATATTTTTATTCAATATATGAATAAATTATCAAATGATTAATGAGGGTAGTATGGTCAAATTTCAATTCCCTCCAATAACATAATTGAATTCCATCAGGGATTCTAATTCTATTGAAAAACTTGAACCAAACATGATAAAATGATAAAATTAAATTTCAATTCCTATCAATTTTAAGGGATTCCATTTAACCAAACGCAGAGTATGATGAGATATTTGATGGAATGGCTTGATTGACGAAATGTGAATGCAAAGGTGAGTTGAAAATGGGTGGGAACGGTTTTGTTTATATACGTATCGACGGCTCTACGCGGTTAGCGAGACAGGTGGCGCTAAGGAAGCGCATGGATGTGAACGCTGGAGAGTGGCCATTGATTGTGACTTGACTTTTCCTTTTTTACGTGGATTTTCTTCGTTTCTTCTTAACGATTTTGTATGGATTAATATAAAATAATTGTCTAAAATATAATATTTTTACGAATAAAATTTTAAATTATTTTTTAAATAATTTTGATGTTTAATATTATAATCGTTATTATTTTAGGTGTTTAGATCATCAACGATGTTAATTTCTTCTATTAAATGACAAATATCATAATCTTGCGATTTTAAAAAATATATTTAAATATATAAAAAATTATATTTAAAAATACAAAAATTTTAAAATAATCCCACAATTTTGAAAACCTTCATTTCAACTCTTAAGTCTACATCGCCCGCCGCCTTTTGACATCGATGAAGCTCTACTCAACTTTACCCCCGACGACTAAAACCCTATGAAATTGTGACCAGTCGACGATCGATCGACAACGAATTGATGTTTTATACCTCACAAACCCAAGGATGAAAAATCACGATCCCAAACGATTCTGACGGCTAATCGGTGGTAACTACGACGATGTATGACTAGGAGGATAGCAAATATTATGTAAATGGTCATGGTCATGATCGAAAAGGGTGGTGGCGACGAGTCAGGGTTGGATTTTGGCAATTTTGAGGTTTTTTCTGTAATTTAAGATAAATTAGGTTTTTTATGTATAATATTTTTCATATTTTTTGTGTAAAAATTACTATATTTTATACAGTTATTTTATATTTAATTAATTTTACAAGCAACTTTGAGAAACTTGTCCCCCGGCTTTTCTTTTTAAATATAGTTGACCGTTGAGTATCTACACTTTTGTGAAACTAAACTAAATTTATATTAAATTTTGACGTTATTTATTTAAATATTATGGTAAAAATTTATTTACAATTTATTTTTTTTATATAAGATGATTGTTATAGTAATTCAAAAAATTATTTAAATTTTATAATAATTTAGGAAAAGGTGTTTATTGTATAATGATCCATAATGTAATAATGCTTGCAAGGCACATAAGAAGCAAGGACATAGATCAATCAACACAGTTTTATGAAATCGCCCAAAAATTCTAACAAAATCCTCAAATTAATGTAATATGTGTGTTACGTTCTAAACTATTAAAAACGGAGAGTAGTGTCACGAACTTGGGTTTTTTCCCACACTTTGGGCTATGTTGGGCCACATTTGGTATTGGAGGTTGATAGAATAGTGTAGATTATTCTAGAACACTCAAGACTTGTACATATTCTAGAAGCATTCTAGAGTCTTCCATGTTAGGTAGGAAATAATGGAGAATTCTAGAGAATCTCTCCCTACCGTAGGATCAAATCAATCTCCACCGTCCATTGAGGAGGTGGGATGCTATAAATAGGTGTAGAATCCTCATTTGTAAATCATCCAAGAGTTGTAAGCATTCAAGCATTCAACAAGCTTTCTCTCTAAGTTCTTTCCTTTCTTCTTTGTTTTCTTGCCAATTCTTTCACTAGCACGAGTTCGAGTGAGGCTGATTTAGCTATCGCGAGGGGCGAAAAGGGGT